ATTTTGGTCATTTTTATTTATTTTTGTGGGCCATGTGTTATTGAGTAGTGGTTTGAAATGACTATCTGATTGCACTTCTAGACATTTTTCTACACTAATTTTGTGAGTTTGTCCATAGACCCTCTAACTGTTAGAGGGTCTATGGTTTGTCACTGAAACAGCTCTTAAATTCACATGTCTTATAAAAGGTCTGTAATTTGATGAGCTGGGTGGGGATAAGAACATACATAGATAACCACTGTACATGCATTTCTATGGGCTCTATGCGCGCTGCTGTGGAACGCCGGTTGAGCCAGTGAAAATTCAATAAAACAACACAAACTTAACTTTGAAGTAATCCTGAACAACCAAATTTATATATGTCACACACATAGGGCTAATCTTGTTCAGGGGAGTCTCAACAACCATCCAAAAGTACCGTTTTCTGTGAGTTTTTGGCCTTTGTTTTCACCGCAAGGGTTGCCAGACAGTGAAAATGCCCGTATGTCCGCCCAGAGGATTGCAGCATACCCGGTAACAAATATTGGTATGATTCAATTCAAGTTAGATCACATTTCTTTGCAATGTGCTTTATTATTGCATTTATGCTGCATGTAATATTTAGTTAACTGCATGTAATATTGGTAAAATATTTACATATTCCACTTCAGGACAAACAGACCTTGCCTATAGAAAATAACTGAGAGATAAAAATGGTTCTCCTAAACACTGTAACCCGATTATTAGGAGAGCTATGTTATTAAAATATCTACAATAAGGTTTAATTTGGGAAAGTTATTATTAGCTATTCAGAATCTAGAGCGAGTGAAGGGCAAGTGAATTGTGTAAATTTATTTACCATGGCCTAACTTGTTGAATTTCAGGATTACAAGAGCAGCGCCAACATACCAGCTATGATGACTGATGTTACTAATACTATGACGGCAGTCAGTAATCTGAGATCCATCAACGATGATCTGCAGCATTGGCTAGATCAGCATTAAATCATACTTTACCCATCTTTGAAGCATCTTCATGTACATAATATGCATTTCTGATCATCCATGTTTTCTTTGTATCATATGTATATACATATACAATAAACGCAAATATACTAAAGCTAGTTCTCCATTCTTGATCATGTGATCCATTGTTTTGAATGTTTTTTTAGTCCCTGTTTGAATGAAGGGACTTATAGTCCTGTCTGTATGTCTGAGCCCGCCTGCCCAGAGTCGTATTTCACAACCCTGTGGATCAAATCTGCTTCCATTATTTGCATGTGTCTAGTACTTTACCTGGGACATGTGCACATGTAGTGGTTTACTGATTTAATTCAAGATGGCTGACTGGCAGCCATTTTGTTTATTTGAAAATATTATGCATGCTTTGTCAGTTTTTGTTATTTTGTCATTGTGCATGTTAGAATACGTGTCTATGTCAATTCGTTTCACAATCGGATCAAAGATGGCTGACTGACAGCCATTTTGTTTGTTGAAAATGTAGTATCTTATGCATGATTTGTCTATTTTTGTTCAAATTTGGTACATACATTGTAGATTAAATGTCCAAGACAGATCAAAGATGGCTAACTGGTGGTCATCTTGCTTTTTGACCATACTCTTGTCATTCATATTTGGCACATACATCATATATATATATATATA